AAGGCCTAATACCTTGTGACATATGGTCTCAAAATGTCTACCTTTGCTCGTAAATATTACCTATACTGAGTGCCAGCCCAAGTTCTTTTCTAGCATTATCTGACCCTTAAGCAAATAACTTAATTTGGCTATGTATTGTATGTTTTACTAAGGAGGTGCTGTGCATACTCTTTCGCATATAGTTTTGATGATGCATTGGATGCTTTCATTATACATGGCTAATGCAGTGCAATGCAAATAGAAGGTGGGCAATGTAAATGAGCCACTTGGAAATGATACTGATTTGGATCTGGGGAGAGACGTGTATGTTCTTTGGGTTTTGGCTGTTAAACTCAATATATTATCTTTGACATCCTTTATTTGTGTTTTATAGATTGTTCCTAAATTTGTGCTCATGAATCATTGAGTAAAGGAATCAAATTGAGTTCAAACTGTGTTTAACAGGACATTAAACTCAAGCAGTTGTATAAACCTCCCACTTTGGCCATATTATCTAAAACATCCATCTAGACATGAAATTAAAAGTCAGTGCACCTGAAGTGCTGGTTTGATGAAACTTGATGAAACAAAAGTTTGTTTTGCAATCATCATTTTGGATTGTTGTCATGTCTGTGCACTAACTAGCAGTAGCTAACACAGAGATGTCCCTGCAGACATGGTTTGTTTTTCTCCGAGGGGATTTCGACTCCAAAGCAGTGATGCTAATGAGCCCATCATCACTATTCTCTTATGGCAAATAAAGTCCTGTGAAACTCATTAAAGGTGACGTTTAATTAGGTCATCAATTATTCAAACTATCCTCTGTGGGCTCTCAGTGAAGATGGAGGAAACAGCAAAAAGTTTTGAAATGGTTGGAAAACTATTGATTTGTAAATAAATAATAAATTCACAAGACTAAAACACCCTTTACACCTTATTATTAGTAACTTACTCAGAAAATTGCTTTGTCACTTTTTTAACCGCCCACCCGAACTGGTGATATTTTTTACTAACCCCCCATAAGATAACCGACAGTATGGGACACAGCAAAGGCTGCTCAAAGATCCAGTTCAGAGAAAATGTTTAACTTAAATTGTCGCATAAATTGATTACTATCATCAGACTGTGTTTGAAATGTACTATTTTGTTCATGAATTTTGAGAAGACTTGACAGCCGTAAATCAGGAGTTGACAACAATAAGAGAGTAAAGTAGAGTTATCACTGTCTCAGCTGCTGTTAATCCAACTAGCAAAGTACACTTATGGTGTACTTAGGGATGCATGGGGCACAAACTGCCTGATGGATTAACCAGTTTATTCATCAGATATGCTGTCAATATGATACAGACGGTAAAATGTGCGGTTTGACGTTAATGCTGGAACAGTTTATTCATCAGAGCACTGTAATCACAGTCATGCTCAGAACAATAAAAGGCCAATGTGTGAACACATACTGAGAGATGGGATTGGGGACATATATATTGATTACTTATCAGTTTATTAAACAAAATATTTTTCAATAAATAAGGTAGATTCATTTCAGTGGCAGAATCATAGTTTTAAGTTGTCAATTTCTGAGACCTACACTGATAGTCTTGGCTTGTTTTCATCATCTGAAAAATGTTTTTTCAACATAATGGTGATGATGATTGGCCAGTTATCTGTATTCCCGTGTGTCACAATAAACTCCAGTGCAACTCCCGTGAAGCATATTAAAAGTGATGATTAATGGCATCATTAATTATTCAAAGACTGCTCTGTTCATGTTGACTTGGCTAATTAACACACCTGCAATCGCTTGTTTAACAGTTTGTGAACAAAACTTTAAACTAAATATTTGAATTTAATGTTGTCGGAACAATAAAACATGTTGCTTTTATCTTTATTTTCTTTTAATATGGTAACCGCAGGTATTGGAAAACATATAGGGATGTAAAGTCAGTTTACACACACATTAACAACTGCACTGTGAGCAAGTGTAACCCCATTTCTAATAATCATTAATACATCACCCATATCTTTATTTGACACGTCACTGCTTTAATGAAATACTGTAAATGGATGACATATTAACCCTTTGACTTGACCAAACATATAGTTAAACCCTACATACTGCGCAAACTTAACATGACAATGAATATTTTCTCGAGTAAAATCATTAAGCTGTTGATGCTGTAGATAGATAGATAGATAGATAGATAGATAGATAGATAGATAGACTTTATTTCAGACTCAGGGTCCATAGAGACAAATATATAAAAAGACAGACAAACGATAAAAGTACGGAGGCCTAGCAATGCCCTACAAAGAGACAGCTGTACCAATGTCGCCACAGCTGGGACTGGTAACGTGTGGTACTAAACCTTATATTGGTTAAAACAACTATGATCTCATTTTCAGAGTCATTCAGTCGACAGATGAATTTATACATGATATTTCTTAACACAGTTTGGAAAGTATTGACTCGTGCAGCCACTAACATTTCACTCGCACTACTCCATCTCGGTCTCTTTAAAAGTATTCTCATGGCGTCATTGTAAGCTACTTGAAGTCTCTGTAAGCTCCTTTTTCTGTAGTTTGACCACAAGTGTGCAGTGTAGAGTGATGTACAATATGCTCTGAACAGAGACATCTTCACTCCATCTGTACACATACCAAACTTGCGTGAGAGACTGTTTGCTTGTGCATACATCCTACGTCATTACCTAGAAATGTCGTTATCATCGGTCATGTGTTCTGTTAAAAAATGACCAAGATATTTTACTTCACCACAGACACCAAGATTATTGTCAGACAATTTGAAGTCAGGGAAGTTTAGAAATTTGTCCTCTTTAGTTTGACAGATCAGGATAGCACTCTTACTGGCGTTGTATTTGATGCCATGTTCCACACCACACACAGTACATATAGTGAGGAGCTGCTGAAGACCAGCGCTAGATGGACTAAAGATCACCAGATCATCTGCATACATGATATGATTAACCAGAGTATTTCCAATCATGCACCCAGTATTACAGGCTTTCAATTGCTTGGACAGATCATCAATATACAGATTAAACAGAATTGGGGACAAAATTCCCCCTTGTCGGACACCATTGCTAACCCCAAATAGGGCTGAGACACTTCTACCCCATTTTACTTGTATAGTCTGGTGAGCATACCAGTAAGCCAGAATTCTCGCAATGTATGTGGGGACACCTCTTTGGCTCAGTTTGAAAAACAACTTACTATGATTAACACGATCAAAAGCTTTGGAGGCATCAATAAAACACATAAGAAGTTATGAGTTTTGACCTCTGTATTTGTTGACAATTTCCTTTAAGGTGTATATATATACACAAGTCAGTGCCATGTTTGGCTTTAAAGCCGAACTGGTTATCTTTGGAGGTGATAAAGTCATGTATTCTGTCCAGCAGGATTCTTTCTAGGACTTTTGACAGTACGCTGGCCAAAGCAATGGGCCTGTAATTCTCTAGGCTACATACTTTACCAGCTTTGTTTTTAATGACTGGCACTAAGAGAACAGACAGCATTGAGTCTGGTAAGAAGCCGTGAATCATGAAGCCAGTAAAACAGAGAAGTAGGCTAGTAATAATTAAAGGCCAGATTACGAACTTAGCTGTTTCTCACACAGTGCAACCAGAGATTTTGAATGCAGTCTTATTGTATGGTAATGCATATCTGCATTAGGTGTGAGAGACCACACTGAACAATATTAAGTATCACAAATAATCAATGAGGGTGAATTCATCTTGACTCGTGATTTTGTCGCATCTCACCTTACTTGAAACTAGAATTCCACGTGTGATGTAACTCTGTGATGTAAAATATCAGGTTGGACAGAATATTCCTTCATCGCACTCACTGTAAATCCTCCATCATTATTTTAGTGACTTTTTTCAATCAGATTTTTTTCTTCAATTTGCTCTTCTGTTTTAATTATTTTGCTCATTTTCCACATGTATTCCTGGCACTCCACTCTGTGGTCACAGGGAGACTGTAAAGGTCATCTAAGGGCCTGCATATTTGCAGAGTGCTGTTTCATCATTACAAGCCTGGAATGTAAAATGCTTGTGAGGAATTTCAGCTGACTACACACCAAACATCCAAACCTTTCCCCTAGTATTATTCTTTGAATCTAGCCTCATTTCTCTTTGGTTTGGTTTCATTTCATTTGGTTGTATTTGTCATGGATAGGTTTGATCAACACAACTACCAGTAGTGGAAAGTAATTAAGTAAATTCACTTAATTACTGTACTTAGTACAATTTTGAGGTACTTGTACTTTACTTGAATATTTCCGTTTTCTTCTACTTTATACTTCTCCTCCACTGCAATTCAGAGGGAAATATCGTGGGACTAGTAACTTCTCTACATTTATTCGATAGCTAAGTTTAGTTACTTCACAGGTTCTGATTAATATATAGAATATCACCACAAATACCTTATAATGTATTATTATTGGTGAAGATAATATTGAATTAATGCATCAATTAAAATATTTTGTACTTTTACTTTTGGTACTTTAATTATATTTTGATGCAAATACTTTTGTACTTTTACATAAGTAAGATTTTGAATGCAGGACGTTAACTTGTGCATTTCTACACCGTGTCATTGCTTCTTTCACCGCTGTGTAGCACAGTAAAGTTTAAGGCCTGCATTGAAAATAATAATTAAGAATAGTCTGTATTATATAAAGGTATCTAATCAAAATGCAATGAGATTTCACATTATAGTAGGCCGAGAAGAATATTAATGATAGCGCATTCATGTGTTGGTAAGTAACATTTTACTCTGGAGCTGGTCCGGGTGAGGCTGATCTTAACTACTTACGCTTAACTGCACCATGTAATGATTACCAGGACTTAATAAACCCCTCTTTTCATGGCAGGTTGTGGTTGAGCAGTAAAACATGTCGGAGCACAAGATAACTTTGCTTTTCTTTCACCACGGGAGGGCGCTAGTGTTCAGTCTGTGACGGCTTCACAGTGGGGGGAACCTTTGCTCGGTGACGACGAACATTTTTATTGTTGCGGACCAACATGGCCGCGCTGAGGAGCCTAACGACCTGCTTCCGTCTCCTCAGGTAGGCTGTGGTGAGATACCGCTTTACAGGCAACGTTTGTCATTTGTACACGCTATACTAAATTAACCAGACCTCAAAATGTAATGTTGTTTCCGGTTCTAAAGTGAGGAAATTAGAATGGTTCGCTTCAGAACGGTGCTAGCAACAACAACAACAACAACAACAACCGGAAGTTGCCACAAACACGTTAAACTTGTTTTTAATTGCCATTCGTGTGTCCTCTCGTACATTTGTGAGTCAGTGTAAAAGGTTAAATGTTGGACTAGCTTCAGTTGATTCCTCAATCCTAACGCGTTGGTAGCGAGCCTTCGTTTAGACGGACCAGTAAATACGTGACAGCGCTTCAGAACTTGGATGTAAACTCGTGTATTCGTGTAACGGTACGTGGCTGGTTTTAAACGGAAACTGTTTATTTTCTTCAGGAGATCAGCTCCTGTCCTGTTCAGCAGCAGAAAACCTGCAGTCCATAAAGCGGTCAAATGGACAAATGTCCTGTACACGGGTATAGCGTCTCTAACTGTGGGCGGAGGGCTGTGTGCTATACCTTTCAAACAGGTGAGTGTGTCACCTCACCAGAGAGAGACTCATACATAAAATACAGATACCATTACAAAGTATATAACGTTAACTAAAAGTATACACGTGTCTTTTCTCTCTCTCTCTCTCTCTCTCTCTCTGTCTCTATTGCAGGTTGAAAACCTCTCTCGTGACTCTCTGATCAGACGAGCAGCCTCTCTTGTTACAGACAGTTCAAGCACTTTTCTCTCTCAGACCACTTTGTCTCTCATAGATGCCATTACAGACTACTCAAAAGTAAGTTTTGATCGCATGGTAAATGTATTTCCGATATCCTGACTTGCAGAAGGATTATTTGCAAGTATAGTATATACAAGTCATGCACATTGTATTTATATAACCCAATATCACACATTTGCCTTTGCTTTACAATCTGTACAGCATACTACACCCTCTGCCCTTAGATCTACCCCCCCCCCCTCCAACTACCCTTGTACTATAGTATACTTGCCTAGATGCAAGAAATCAAGAAAAATACCCAATTTCTTATTGATGAATCTGTCAGTAACATTACTCCACATAATTTGCTGAAGCTTGCAGAGTGTGATGCAATGTGGTGACACTGAGCTGCACCAGAACAAAAATAATGTTTGTTATATTTATGTATTATGTATCGAAGTACATAGTCTATCTTTAAATAGACCAGAGATAGAAGCAGAGCATAGAGCATGTAAAGTTGTCCATGTCCAGATTCAGCATGATTTAGTGTGAAGGGACTATAATAGCTTGAACAGTGTCCATATCACACACAATCCTCCTCTGTGCTACTCTGCCTCCGCAGTTTTATTTTAAATATAAAATGTCGATGTCCTCGCTCTGTTTGCCAACAGGCTGTGCACACACTCATTGCCCTTCAAAGACAATATTTGCAATCACTGGGAAAACTGACTCCTGCAGAAGAGGATACAATCTGGCAGGTGATCATTGGCCAGCGTTCAGAGGTTAGTTTGTGTTGTCCTCTTCGGTGAAAAGTACTTCAAAATAAACCTGAGCGTAGCGTGACGTTGCCGTCTTTTCATTTATCGATTGCCGCGGCACGAATATGACGGCAGACTCGCAATCCCTGATAAACAAACAGTTGTGGATCTGTTTGAGTCTGACTTAATAATTCTTCTTCTCCCGACAGGTTAGTGACCGACAAGATGAATGCAAGCGTTTCGAGTCAACCTGGGTCACTGCCGTCAAGCTGTGTGAAGCGGCAGCTGAGGCAGCATACACCTCAGGTGTGTAGAAGACAAATGTCTGAGTGTGGTTCTCTGGCCGTGTGAGCGAACGGGTTGGGATGTGGTGGTTGAAGTGTTCAGGCAGGTTCTCTCAGGGTTGTTGTAATGATGAATAAAAGTGTACGGCTGTGAATCATCTTCTCAAAGCTTTGCACGTCGCCGCCTGTGCCCGTTCCCATTCAGCCGCTGTCAGTGTTACACTTTGGACGGTGCACGGATCATTTGCTGTCACTCAGTGGGGCTTTGTGTTTAACAAAATGGAGATGATGGACAGGAGTGCCTCGTTGAGGACCACACCTAATGTCTGAACTTAAGCTGGTGTTATGTCAACCTTTTGAACTTTTTTCTTTACAACAATTGAATGGAGTGCGTGTCTTGCATCTGTGTGTTTCCAGGAGCTGAACATGCGTCGATCACAGTGAGGACAAACCTTCAGGTGGCCCAGACGCAGGTGGAGGAAGCACTGAAACTGTCGGTGGATACGGATAAGAAGTTGTCCGAGACTAAAGTAATGGAGGTTGAAAGGGTGATGCAACATGTTGCCTCCTTACAGAATAGTGGTGAGGAGGAAGAGGTGCCTGAGGCTTACCTAAGAGAAGACTGAAACAAATGCACAGTTATCAGGAAAACCTCTTCATCATTTAACAATGTCTTCTCACTTTTTGAGTCTTCAGCGTGTGTGGCTGTGACTTGTCGTGTAGATTGTGCTCCAATGAATGTGCTTACATCGGCACAAAAGCTGTATTGCGGAAAAAGTGAATTGCACCAAAAGGAGGACGTCTCCACAGTTCAACACATTCTGTTAAGTGTTTGGTCATTTAAGACTTTGAATAATGATTATCAACTGCTCCTGAAGCATAGAGAATTATGTTTTTATTGTGACTTGACCAGCTGATTTTTGTGTTGTTCCAAAATTCATTGTAATAAAGACAAGACGCAGTTTAAAAACTATTAATTTTTGGTGTTTACTTGTCGCAACAGCATCAGAAAATGAAACTTTTTAATTCATGTTTACTAGATGGATATTGTGTTTACTGAAGTGACTTGTGGCCAACATTTCGTATTGTGTTACAAAGGCTTTTTTTTTAACCAGTGCTGAAAATAGTAGAGAAAACAATGTGTTACTTCATATGGTTGTCGAAAAATGAGTTGTTTTGAAAGCGGCATTTGCCAGATTTGTTCTGACAACTGTTTGTGTGATAAGGATGCGAGACGAGAGGCGTCTGTGCCAACTATGTGAACAGAGTGTCCTCTGTGGTCATCTTGGGAAACATTTATGTGCTAGAGCGACTAAGAGCCACTACGTAAACACCGTAACACCCAGAGATGCTGTCTTTGTGGACTTCAACCAGCTGCTGGTACCACTTTGGTTTTTTTTTCCATTACATGTTACTCTGAAGTCATTTATAACCATTCCATCCACACAAATTTGAATTAGTAAATGTCCCACTGATTCCCACCCATGTGCTTCTGAGAACATCTTCAAGGTGTAGTGTTGCTTGTTATTTGTATCTCTTTCTTTCACTCAACAACTCTTCAGTCTTTGCAAATTACCCGTGTCCTGACACCCCTGTGGAGCTTTTAGGTCGTTTCTCAACTGCCTCCCCTGTCATCACTTCATCTCCAGCATCACCTCTTTCCACACTGTCGCAGAGCACAAAACAAACTACTCTAGCTCCATTTTTTTTTTTTATGAAAAACAGAATATTTTCAGCAAAGTTGCACACTGATATAGATTTGTGGGCAGGTGTTGAAACTTGTGAAGGAGATGAGTGCAGACTCATTTGCATGTATATAGGACTCTACAGTCTTCAAAAGGATCAGCTGCCGATATGTACACTCAAACATGATGGACTTGAAACATTGTGAACCCGTCCTTTAACTTCCAGCAGATGGCGATCTAAACCCATTGCAACACTTTTTTTTTTTTTAATTTCTACAGTTGGATGCACTACATCAGCATTTTCATCCCCAGTCAGCTCAAATGTATCTATTGGAGTCACTATTTCACATTGTATTTACTTTTTTATCACAATAGATATGACCTATTTTATTTGGTGTTTACGAATGTGATTAAAACCCAGATTGTTAGAGAACCCTTCATGTGAATCTACTGCGGACCCTGGTGCGGGTACCTACATTTAGTCTTAAGAGTACAGAACAATAATAATGTGCATGAATTTTAACCAGTTATAACCCTAAACACTCATTTCTGTCGCCTCCTACTGTTCCCACTTATGTGCATGCCTTCACAGTATATTAAATAGTGGGAGAGTTTAAACTGCTCTTTAAGAATATACACCTAACCTGCAAGTTTATTACCAAATCTACTCATTAGTAGAAGCCGTATCCTTCAGTAATGTGACTATGCTCTGTAACAGGTACGCTGTCTTCATGTTTGCCTTCCAAAAGGTCAGTGTCTACTGCAGAGGGAGCTCATTATGGGGGAGACCTGCGTGGAGCTGCAAACACAAGTGTGACCTCTCCCTGCTCTACATGGTCAAGCCTTGGCAGGGGATGGGACCATGAGAGTGGCTGCAGAAAAAGGGGGGTGGGTCGGGAGGTTTTGAGGTGTGCAAGGACTGGCTCACCAATGTGACTAGTGAGGAATGTTGTGTTTAACAAAGGCTGTTTTCACAGACTGTAAAACCAAATGTCCCAGACAGTCTGTGTGGATGTGCACCCACTGGTCACAGGGGAAGGTGGTGCCAATGCAGCCTTGCTTGCCTGGAAGAAAATGTAATAGAGCATACTGAGATGTATTTTTATTTTTTTGCAGCATGAAACCTCAATGAGGTAACTACAATTACTAAGGTCGTGGGCCATACATGCTCATAAACTATTTAGTGCTACTGAGGGGGGTGTTGAGCATTTCTTGCAGCACAACTTCTGCTAGTGGTGTGAAATAACCCTGACTGAAACTATTCCACCGGAATTGGTGAAATCATTAACACATTCAATGTTTTGTGGAAGAAAATAAGCTGTGATTTATCATCGCAGAAATACACGAGCCTCCTCACTGCACTGACTTTACCGTTCCAATGCAAAGTGGCCCAGGAGGGGAGATTGATTGGTGAAAAGGGCAGCGCTTTCACCTGGGGGATTTATAGCTCTTTGAGGATATAAATAAACCGCCACAGGGTATAAAGGCAGGGGGTATGGTGTGGTGACATATCATGGGTCATGCTTTAATCACAGTGATGCTGAGTTGTAGCGCTGGGAGAGGCAGCGGGTTACATTTTTGCAGGAGATTGGAGGCTCCCCGGAGAGTTCACGTCCCCTGATGAGGTAATACAGGCTATGAAGACGTCACAGCAGAGTGAAGTTGGGAAGCTCAACGTGAGGGAATCACATTGAGACCAGCATTTTTGCTTATCTTCAGAGAATAAATATGATGTCCGCCTGAAACTGCTGAGGAAGCGTGTTTATCAGTTCAAGCTGCAGTGCATGATAATAACACAGTGCGGCACACAACGCCAGATTCCTGAATGTGTAAAAAGCTGTAATTATCTCAAAGAAAAGAACAATGCAAGAGAGTGCTTCATCACCACTCTGTTTTAGAACGTGATCCATAAATAGGCTGGGCCTGGTGGTTGGAGAGACTAATGTGTCACCAGTCGCACGTCTGATCTCCACGACATCTGTGCCAAAAACTGATAAAGGTTCAGAGTCTGCCTGTTAAAGACAATTTAAACCTTTACCTGTTCGGAGTGCACGCTTTCACAAGTATGTCCTCGGAACAAGGGGATTCCCCACTGATCCAAACTAAATTACACTTTTAATTATTTTTAAGAGAGTGAAAACACATGAAGATCACTATTTTATAATGCCCATGTAAATATTAAGCAGGTATCCACTTATGTTCTATTCAGGGTCATATAAACCCTCTAGGGCCCCCTCCTGCCTCCACTAACCCTATAATTTCCTATCTTTCGGCCCTCATCGTAGCAATTTATGTTGTGCTTTTGTATTGCAAACCATATTACTAAACAAATGTTAAATCAATCAAATTACCTTAAACTGAATGCCATGTGGAGAACCTGGAGCCCTCGGGCCCCCTGAGGTTTTGGGGCCTCAGGACAGCTGCTCTCTTTGCCCAGCTGGTAATCCAGCCTGGGTCCTATTCGACAACTTAAGTCCTCTTAATGTTTTTAAGAGGTGAATGATGGTCTAGTTGCCAATGGTAATTAATCTCTGATATGAGAATATTTGTGCATCGCCCTGCTACTGACCTACTGTCGCTAAGTACATTCATGTGTACTTTACTTGAAAATGTCCATGTCATGCAACTTTATACTTGTATTCCACTATCATTTTTAATGATTCTCAATTGTTAAGATCGACCTCACCTGGACAAGCTACACAGTAAAATGCTACACATGAAGGCATCAACATTAATATTATAACACTATGATATGAAATGGTTACGCAGTTTTTGTGCATTGGGTATTTTGATATATTTTACTAATATTACAATATTTAACTAAGTACTATTTTCAATGCCAGACTTTTACTTTACTTATACACAGTGGTGGAAGAAGTAGCCTACTAAGATCTTTAAAAAGCAGCAATACCACAGTGTAGAAATACTGTTACAAGTAAAAGTCCTGCATTCAAATGTTTACTGAAGTAGAAAAGTGTTAGAATCTAAATTATTCGAGTAAAATTAACTATATTTTCCCCTGAAATGGAGTGTAGAAGTAAAGATGGATAGAGAGATAAGATAGATAGATAGATAGATAGATAGAGAGATTGAAAAAACAAACAACCAAGTTAACACAACAACTTCTATCACCATTGTCATTACATTCCAGAGGTGTCCAGTGGCTGTTTATGTGTGCGCGCACACAGACAGTGTGCGTTTTGTTTGTTGTCCAGCAGAAGTGGTACAACCCACGCGGATCGGTCGCTATGGAGAGCAGCTCCCCAAGAGCGCGAGCCAGTAGCCACAGAGAGCGCGGACGAGCGAGGAGGAGGACCAGAACGTGCCAAAGCGCACAGACAGAGAGGAACCATGGAGAAAAGATCACCGATCAAGAGGACTTGGCCATCTAACGGACTGCGACTTTTAACGTCACTGCTCACCTTTTACGGACTCACCTGTAAGTTAACGGTTTCTTTGACGTTTTTGCCCACGCTACATTTGAGGCCATTGAAAGAAGTTGCACCCCGGGAGCTGCTACCGTTAGTCACCCGATTCAAAACGACGAGCCCGGGCTCACGCTAGTCCTCGTCGTGTTGAAACCGGGCTGTGTTCCGTTCAAAGCGTGCTAGCTTTATTTAAGCTAACGACTCTTGTCTGTGAACAGTTCACATCACGTTGGTAGGAAAGTACGTGAGCTAGCTGCTGTGGTCAGCTCACCGCGTTAGCTAAACCTAGTCTTTCACGTTTCAATACAACTCCGTTAGCGTGACACTATCGCTCACGTTTAACTTGCACCCGACGAAAAGCAACAGCTAATCACACACACAGGCAAACTCAATTAAAGTTAGATGTTCATGCACAATCACTCCACTCGGGACGGGAGACAACTTTAAGCGCAGCACTGATTTTGTGGTAATCATATACGCACGTTCTCGAGCCCAACGTGTACGTTATTTCTAATGTGTGACCCATCATTTCTTCGCTGACACTACTCAGGGAGTTTTGGGGGAAATGCCCACTCAGATAGAAAGTCATTGAGGAGCAGCATTGATTCGCGGTGTACTAAAACAGAAGCGGAATCGAGCATTGCTTGCGGTGACCGACGGTGAGCAAAGAGGAGCTCCTTTGTGAAAAGTTTGCCCGGTGGTTGTTGGATACAACGTTGTGTGAGAGGAGACCTCTCCGGTTTAGGCGTGAGGGGTGGAGGGGAAATGAAGACGCATTTTTAAGGGAGGCACTGCAGTCGCAGAGTCTCTGGAAGTATCGACCTGCAGGTTGGGCTGCATGCCAGACAAGAGTACACAGAGCACCTTCAAGTCTCCGTGCTGTCCCGAGTGGTGCAGCTGGATCCCACTCTCCTGGGCTGGCATGTGACAGGCCTGCTAAAACAAAAGAAGAAGAGACAAACATTGATGGATACCAAAGTAAATACAGCCCAGGAATGCACCGTTGCACCATGCAATCCATCCAAATCAGATATGCAATGACATCAAACCATTTCTGCATCGCTAACACGGTAATGAGTGCCATACTAGTATGACAGCCAATTGGCATCCGCTAATGATGGGGCTGCAGCTGTTGTGTACTGATCATCTTCAGATTCTTTTCTCAATCAATGATCATCTCTTGGAGAATAAAACATGAGAATTATTTTAAAAATCAGACTAAAATCTTTCAAGATTAAGGAAACCATATATATGGAAAATATTTGTTTTCACAGAAACAAGCAATAACCAAATTTGTTTTTTTTTCATGAGCGTCACTATAAATAGTTTAATGAATTGTGACCAATACATGTACTCAGTGTATATGTTCTAGTTAAAAATAAACATCTATTCATTAGTCGACAAACTGTGTAAAAGAGACACTGTTTCTGAATTACTTCATATCTTTGGGCTTTCTGTTAAAACTAAAACATCAATACGATAATACAGGCTGATATTAACTGATGGTAGAGTCATTGGTCAAGCTGTCATCTGTCATGCGCACACTCACACTTGCAACACATACTTTTACAAAGACCTCTTCATACCATACTTTTTCTGTCTGTACCCACAAAATGCTGGTTCATAAATCAACACAGGGAACCGATAAACAACGCATTGTTGCAAACTAAATTGATGAGCCAAATGTGCTGTTTGGTGTGTGTGTGTGTGTGTGTGTGTGTGTGTGTGTGTGTGTGTGTGTGTGTGTGTATGTGTGTGTGTGTGTGTGTGTGCAGGTTTTCACTTCAACTAGTCACTTCGACAGCCAAACGAGCTGGTCATTAACACCGAGGACAAACTAGCCAACGCAGGTTGGTGTCGTGTTTGGAAGAGAAACGGCTGCAGGTTTTTTGACTGTCAATAACATATGGTGGAGCCCATGTGGCCCAGGCCTACTGTGTTGTGTTTACCAGAGCACAAGTGTGCAGAGGGGACTCGTGTCAAAAATTGTTGTCATTTTCAGATTCCCTGTAGTGTAGACGGGGCTGTGAGGAGGGGATCCATTCAAGGCGTGGCTACAGGCGCTGAGCTCTGTAATTGAAGACCAAAGTTTTGTGGTTTCTTCTCTTTGCGCCGCATGATTCATAATCTAAATAAATAATGTTGTAATGGAGCCACCTAAATTACAGACTCAAAACAGAAATAGATTTGAAAAAGCAGTGCACTCACTGAGCAGATTTGTTCCTCATTGAAGTTAATGTGGTTATTAATTGACAGTAAAATATAGCCAGAGACAATATTTTTATCATTGTAAATATGAATCAAGTAGCTACGTCTTTGTCACCACAGGGCACATCGGGTCAAGACATGTTTTTGGGGCATTTTGTCTGGCACAGGTGGTTGGATAACTTAGTGTCGTTGTCAGTCTGGACACTACATTTGAGTTATAGATGCATTTAGTTACTTGTCAGCCGTCCTGGCTTCTCTGGGAAATTACAATGTTTTATCACACTCAGAAAAAAATTCATTTTTACTTGATTCTCTTGATACTTTTACCATTTTTCCAGTCAGTCTTCTTCCGACAAGGATTAGTTAAGCTCCAGCATGACTTAGCAAAGTAGACCAACTTGTGCTCCGCTGACTAAATATGCCTGCAGATGCAAACATTTCACTAATGTCTGGTGTTAATTATCCACACTAGTTATTTTCTATCGGAATTATACACAAGAAAGGGCGTTAAAGTACGTTTTAGCATCGGATTGACATCTGTGGATCGCAGCTGTGGCATTCATCTGATCCTCTCATTTCATCCTAAAACTCAGCTGTGGAGCAGCAGACTGAGAACTCCTAATCACATTAAATGCACGCAGTGTGTTTCTTTTTGAAGGAAGGCCATCAGCAGATGAGTGTGCCGCTTTATTGTGGGGCACGGAGGCAGTGTGTCTGTGTGTGTGTGGGGTGGGGGGGGTTCAGGGAGCAGGCTGTGGTCACCAGCTTATGTTGACTCCACCCTTCGCTTCCTCTTCCACCGACAGATGTGACTGACTGTCGGAGGCTTTGTGTGGCAAGCTGCTCCCTGGTGGTCCCTCCCATCAGTAAATTCAGAGCTGTAACCCCCAGTTTTAGCTGATCCCCCCCCCCCCGGCTCGTCTGTTGCCAGGATGAATAAAGAGACATCGCTGAGACACAGTAGTCCATCGCTGATTACTTTCAGCACACTGGTTTCACAAGTCCATTGAGGACTGCCTGCACCAACCTGTTAGACCTGAATTACCCGAACCACAGATACTGTGTATTATACTTTATAATAGGGGGTCTGAAGACGGCACTAATTTTCATTCATTTCAATGAAAGTTACTCGCTCAACGAATTAGAAAAAAAACTATTTATTCCTTATTTGCATATATGCATTAGTGAAGTGAAGGTTTTAAAGAAATTAAGAATAAAACATCTCAATACAAATACTTCGTCTTGGGGTAAGGATTTTAAATCTTTTGCCTAGCGGGATAAGGCTGGTGATATTTACTTTTCTTATCATCAAAGAAATCTAAAGACTTCTACAATGAATTGAAGGCCAAGTCATGATTTTGTTTATTCTTCCATTGTTGTCCGGAAACTAAAAACACATAATTGAGCCCCACCACTGCACTGGGTGACATGACCCTACAGCACCACGATCATCACGGCCTCCAGATTATTTTGAGTCAATCCCACATACACAATGCTGCATAAATACTAGCTAGCTCACCAAATAGGAGGTTATAGTCCCCAACAAATGCACTGCACATGTAGTCCTGTTTGAGTTTGCTCAAAAGTACAGCTGTTTTGGGGAAGTGCCTTTTTTTTTTCATTATTATGTCTACTTCCTTCCCAGGCCAATTGTTACCAGTCATTAAGACCAAAGTGCGTTGGTAATTAGCCATTCAAAATTGGGAGGAAAAGGGGGAACATGCAAAAAAAAAAACATAGAAAATGCTATTATTAGGGATGCTATTTTGTTAGCTAGTATATGTTGTCTACTGCATAAATCTTGGATAGACAGGAATTGACTGTTTCAATCACTGAGTCATAGGAAACTACACAGGAAAATGGCTTCCAGATATTTCCACGGTTAATTACCTACTGTGAATGAACACAGGGAAACCTTTTTCAAACCGCTTTTTTTGCCTGCTGTTTTCCAGGAGTCAGTATTTTCCCCTGAAGTTGGGGTCACTCGGATACACTGTGTCTTCACAGTCCATATTAAAGAAGTATACAGGCAGGGTGTGCACAGTCAGCAGTTTGATCCCCCCAGGAGGGGAGCACCGGGGTTATGGGAAACAGGTGTGGCTGCTTCTCACCACTCACTCCTATTTGTTTCACTCATTCAGCTGTCAGGTGGTTATGATGTTTGGGATGCGCACACAGTCGGTTGTATACACTGACACGCCCCCCTAACACCCAAGTGGGAGATTATTAACACCCACCAGTCAAACACTGGGAGGTGCTGACTGGAGCAAGTATGCTTTCAGTAGTGTTGTCCTATTTGCTTGTACACAAGGATTGGTAACATATGTGGTACATTGGCTAATGGAAAGAATCTCTTGGAGGCTTAGGCTGTAAAGTATAGTATGTGTTGTTTTTTTATACCGTGGTACATTCCTGATGTTTCACCGGGGTAAACGGTACATGACAAATGACAAGTCTAGGCTGAGGCCACACCAGCAGATTGTAAGATAGCTGCGTTATTTTTGTTTCAGAAGTTTGGCAAAATGTTCTGTATTCTTGCCTCGCTGTTGATGACTGTAAAATGAGGTTATATGGAACCAGTAGTAGAGGTGAAATGCTGCTGCCTATTTCTTTGGAGCACGTAGTCAGATCTTACCCATTAAACCTTTAAGAAGCAGAGGAGCGTCTGTGTTTATGAGGTTATTGAAAATCACACCTTCATAGTTTTCTAAATACCCTGGTATACCATAATACCCTGATACTGCCCAAGCCTAATCTCTTGTTTTCAGGACTGCTGCAGCTTGGGTCCCTCAGTACACTCACC